ACCTCCACTCATTGAGTGTAAGTGTGAGTGAGCTTTTAGAATACAGACGATAAAGCTGTCAAACTAAAATAAACTCCATTGCATGTAGAAAGGGCTAACTTAGACTTTGATATGTCATGACATTTAATTATCTGTGCGATATGTTCCGCGGAGCAATTGAAATTCAAACTTGAACTACCATTTTTCAAAATGTCAAAAACTAGCATAAAACGAGCACACAATAATGCGTTTATGTACAAAAGGATGAACTAATATCAGTTTACTCACCACGAAAAGTATGTCCTTCAACCTGAATCAAGATTTAACTGACAATGTTTAACCGAAAAGCATGTCCTAGAGCTGCGGAATGAAGATTTAACTGACAATGTTTCTTTCCTTGCGAGTTCGAATCCCAAGGGACATCAAATGGAACATTCTTTCCATTGAATGAATGGAACTTGAATTATTATAAAAGTAAGTTTGCAATGGAAAAGCATACAATTAAAGTTAAAATTACTGAGGACAATGAAATGTTTTTTTACGAGTTTCACTTTGTTTTGTTTAGGTAGTGAACTATGTCTACTGAAATTCATGTTTTGCAACTGAATTTAGCTTAATTACAACATTCTAGCTATGATAGAAACAGAGACCGTGGAGCAGGGTGGCTTGTTGGGCTTTAGCCCCACCAATAATTTTTCCGTAGTTAGTTTCTTATTAATTTAGGATACATTTTAGTTGTGTTAAGTCAATTGTTTGACCAAAATTAAATAACTTAGACACAAAAAAGTATCTACTATTTTCCGATAAACATTAAATTTAGAAGCATTTGCGGCCATGTCAGAGGCCTAAATTTCCCGGGGGGGGGGGGGGATTTCCCCAGTCACCCCAAGCGGTCTCGCACATTCGGCGCTCACGTAAGCCCTGCCAATCCCCAAAACGCTCCGCTGTCCCTGTAGAAAATGCATGCCATGCAAATAGTGGAACACAGCAGAATAATTGTATATTTTTACCTGTTTCTCTATATAGGTGTATACTGATATATAGAGAAACATATCATCGATAATAAATTTGCTCGAAGATCAAGTCCATGTTTTACAAGTCCATGTTTTACAAGTCCATGTTTTACAAGTCCATGTTTTACAAGTCCATGTTTTACAAGTCCATGTTTTACATTTCCATGTTTTACATGTCCATGTTTTACAAGTCCAGTCTACGTTTTACAAGTCCAGTCTATGTTTTACAAGTCCAGTCTATGTTTTACAAGTCCAGTCCTATGTTTTACAAGTCCAGTCTATGTTTTACAAGTCCAGTCTATGTTTTACAAGTCCAGTCTATGTTTTACAAGTCCAGTCCATGTTTTACAAGTCCGGTTTACAAGTCCGGTCCATAGTTTACAAGTCCAGTCCAGTCCAAGGTCCAGTCCATGTTTTACAACATGCCCAACATTTCGGCATTTCTTAGAAACTAATTGCAATAGAGCCCCTCTGATATATAGAGTGCCTCTGTAGTATACAACCATTTTCAGTTATTAAGCATGATGCATATAACAATAATCATTGTCTGTTAATGAAAACGGATCAGTTTTTTTAATTGAAGATGAGCAGGTCAATAATCAGCACACTGACAGTCAGATGGGTAAATATAGAATCTTTTTAATAGTATACAAGCATGATGCATATAACATAAATAAATAAATATATTTTGTCCTTTTTGAAAATTACAAATATCAACAATTAATTCTTAAATAATAGGTAGAATAAGAAATATGGGTGGTTGACACACTGTTTAACCCATTAAGCACCAGCGCTCTCCCCTTGACGAGTAAAATACTCTGGCGTTAGACAGAGTAAAATACTAAAGTAGGGTGCATCAGGGTGCAATGCAACTCAATGGGTTAATAAATATTGGGCCTGGTAACCAAATTAACCGTGAGGTTTTCTGGTTAGTTACCAGCCTATTGATTTTAAAATTTAATTAGAGATGAAAGATAATTTGTTTAACAGATTTTTCTGTGTTGGTGTAATGTACTCAGGTGAATATGATGCTTGTGATGTTACTCTGAGTGTATATCCACACCAGGCAAGCTTGAAAAATATGCCTGACCATGGTGGGAATCGAACCTACGACCTTTGGAATACTAGCCCAATGCTCTGCCAACTGAGCTATGCGGTCTGCTCGGTTCGAGTATGTGATATTTCGGAACAGAATCTAGTTCCTTGGATATCAATGTTATCTCATAATAATCATGATTTTTCTGTGTTGGTGTAATGTACTCAGGTGAATATGATGCTTGTGATGTTACTCTGAGTGTATATGTAGCTACGCTCAAGCTTGCCCGGTGTGGATATACACTCAGAGTAACATCACAAGCATCATATTCACCTGAGTACATTACACCAACACAGAAAAATCATGATTATTACTAGATAACATTGATATCGAAGGAACTAGATTCTGTTCCGAAATATCACATACTCGAACCGAGCAGACCGCGTAGCTCAGTTGGCAGAGCATTGGGCTAGTATTCTAAAGGTCGTAGGTTCGATTCCCACCGTGGTCAGGCATATTGTTTAACAGAGCCAAATAAAATGAGATTAAAGTGCATATTAATTAATATGGTTTTAATTTGTCTCGAATTGTTTTTTTAATAAATATTTTTTTACCAATTTTGAAAAACAAAAAACATTCAGGTCATTAAGTTGTTTAGGAAGGTCTTTCCAGAGGTCAATAAATGCAAACAAAGTCATTTGTTTACCATAGTTTGTTCTGACACGTTTTTTTGTGCAAGGTTTGCTTAGATGAATATCTGGTGTTATAGGTATGTACGTCACTAGTATACTGAAATAAACTGTCAAATATGCGTGGCAGTTGGCCTTTGTGCCATAGAGGAGTGAATTTTAAGGCACTGAGTCGATAAAGATTATCAACACTGAGAATTTCCAACATATTTAACTCTTTATCGACAAGTGACATTTTGACGATTTTACAACTCAATTGTTCATAACGTAAATATCTCAGTGCGTATTCACCCCCTTTAAAACAAAGAATACCATTGAAATCCTAATAAAATAACCTTTTCAACGGGGGGTCGAATGCCGTCAAAGCATTACACAAACCGAAACAATCATATATTTACTCACCGCTTGGCCAAACATTCGGAATTTCGTTTGGATGGGATGTAAACGCGCAATGTCTTGGCAAATCTAAATCACACTTCCGGTCAAAAAAATATCCCGCTGACTTCACTAATATCGCAACAGAATGAAATATCGAAATAAGAGATGAAAAACTGAGGCTACAAACCTCAAAATAACACTGTAAATAGTGTTTTTGATTGTGAATCGAACAAGACTACAACGAAAGAGACATGTTCGAAGGGGCCAAAGTTGTGTCTGGCGAAAGGTATGGCTTTAGTGATACATTGTTTACATTTTTCGAACAAATATGTAATTTGTTGAAATATGATACGTCTTGACCCTTCAAAGGTCATAAATCGCTATAATGTTTGTATTTGACTAAAACTATCATTAGGAATCAGGAAATATTATTTTGCTGAATCGAATGGTGGTATTTTCATCTATGTAGCATGTACTGAACCGAAGATATGAACCTCCAAAATACTATTGCAGTTCTGCAAAATCGCATTTCCGGTCAAAAAATATCCTGCTGACTTAACTAATATCACAACAGAATGAAATATCGAAATAAAAGACAAAAAACTGAGGCTACAAGCCTCAAAATAACACTGTTAAAAAGGGTTCCTGATTGTAAATCGAACAAGACTACAACGAAAAACACATGTTCGAAGTGGCCGAAGTTGTGTCCGGTGAAAGGTATGGCTTTAGTGATACACTATAATGCTTGTCTTTGACTAAAACTATCACTAGGAATCAGGAGATATTTCGCCAAATCGAATGGTGGTATTTTCATCTACGTAGCATGTACTGAACCGAAGATATGAACCTCCAAAATACTATTGCAGTTCTGCAATAGTTTTCACAGGTCGAAAAGGAGTTAAATATGGAAGACAATAATCATTGTCTGTTAAACTATAGATTATGTTACCTTCGGAGAAAACGGATCAGTTTTTTTAATTGAAGATGAGCAGGTCAATAATCAGCGCACTGACAGTCAGATGGTGTAGAGTAGGATATATGTGATGGAATATAGTTACTTTGACTTTGTTTAATAGAGTAATAAGTGCATAGAAATAGTACAACCTTTGAGAATAGTTTTAGTATAGTATAGCTTTAGTCAATCGAGCACATGTAAATATTCCTCATGTGCATGCGCTAAAGTCCTGAGCTATATATACCGGAATGTTCATATCTCTTCGACATCCTCCAGGGGTGGCATAATATTCTTCGTCCATTCTGAAACTCTATTGGGTTCTTATGGGTCTCCCTTGTTCAGTAGAATTGTTGACAACGAGGGTTTCTTGATCACAGTTGCTAATGTCCTTTTCCTCACCCTTGCTCGTTGACAGTTCCAGTGCTTACAATTTGCAAATTGGTCTGTTCATATACCCTGTGCTTGTTCAAATGTTCACTGCTCGGACCAAGTTATCACCTCCACGAATGAGATCTTCAACAACTGCTAGTTTCCAGGTGGACCTCGGGCTGTCGTCATGGACTAGAACTACGTCTCCTTTCTTAATAATCTGCTTATTGTCTCCGCTGTGTAATAATATTCTTTGTAATAATATTTAGTTAGTATTTATTCTCAACCATGACAATCTTTGCTATATCTCTGTCTTTATAACTTGTGTCTTTCTTACTATCTATTATTCTTCCTTGCATGCCATATAAGGTAATGTTCTAGAATGTCACTGTTACGTCACTGTTTACTACATCACCCCCTTTTTTTTAACAAAACAAAACAAAACAAATAGGTTATTATATTAATAAATAATGTCAATCATATACCGACTGTCCAAATCTGACCGGTTTTCCTCTAACTCTTTGTGACCTGCGTAGACCTCTGTGCTCGTCCACTTGTTCTGTGTTGTTACCATTCCTGTTTACTCTATTCTGCATTGCCGTAAGTCGTTCATCGTCATCATCGTCCGTTTCAATCTATGTTTGTTTGGATATCCGTTTAAAGAACGATATGTTGCGTGTTACCACATATCCGATTTTGTTTCAGGCTGTTACACGCGAGTTTTGTCGCTTTGTAATGACATATGGTGTTGGGTCAAAGGTTGGAGACAGCTTGTTTTGCCTATTTTGTCGCACTAACACATGATCTCCTACTTTTATCTCGTCTTTTCTGCTGCGATGTACACGACGATCATACTTTTCGTTGTATTCCTGTCTTTTCCTTTCATTATCACGAGCTTCCTTGTGTCTACTGACGTTGCTTTTCTGGTGTAATACCGGTAATTGTCCTTTCACTGTCCGATTAAACAATAATTCCGCTGGTGGAACTCCGGTGGAACAATGTGGTGAGGTGCGGTATTGAAGGAGAAATTGATTCATTTCCTGTTTCCAGGGTCGTTGCTCGATTTTTGCTGTTTTAAGCGCTTTGCCGAGGGCTGCATAAAACGTTCTGCCTCGGCATTTCCTTTGGGCCATAACGGTGTAGAGAATTTGAGCTTTATCCTCAACGTTTTAGCATAGTTTCGGTATTCCTCCCTGTTAAATGGAGGTCCATTATTCGTTTTAATTACGTTTGGAATACAATGCACAGAAAATATACGATCTAGTTTGGGTATGATTATAGATGCTTTCGTTGATTTGATGATTTCAACCTCAGGAAATCGAAAATATTGGTCTATCACAACCAGTAAATATTCACCAGATGGGAGTGGACCGTAAAAATCCATGTGCAGTTTTCCCAGGGACCCTTTGGCATTTTGGTGCTTTCGATTGGTTGAAAGGGTTGCACTTACCTACTGCTTGGCACGGTATGCATTGTTTGATTGTGGTCTGTATTATTTCCTTGGGAAACCAAACCTTTTCACGGATAAGGGCTTTGCTTTTGCTCAGTCCAAGATGGGTGACGTGAGCAATGTCGACTGCACGGTTGCTGGAGTGACTGTGGTAGCACTATTCTTGTACCACGAAGAACTACACCTTTGCTTGTGATGGTCAGTTCGTCCTTTACAGGTTTGAATGCTTTCACAAGGTCATAATGCCATTTGTTAAGTTTGATCGCTGATCCACATAGCGTTTTATCCGAGTCCATGGCAGTTTCAACTTCGTCTAGCGTTAGTGTTTTCGGAACACTACAGCATGCGATCAGGTTAATATAATCCTCGGTCATTGATGCCTGTTTGGAGCTGGTTAATGTCGGGTGGTGGGGCAAATAATCAGCCGGAATATTTGTTCCAGGCTTGTTCAAAATTTTGTCCAGATTGTTATTCTTTGTAGTGGACACCTTATTAAGGTTAAGGTTGATTAACCCTATTTCCTGCGCTGTTGTGGCAGAGATCAGATTACCACTGTTCGTTGTCTTGGCAATGTAGAAAGTAGCAACTGCAATGTGTTTCTTTGTTTCAATTAAGCCTCGAACTTGCCAAGAAATGCACGGGCTTTGTAGCGTTGTACGCGAAGGCTTTAATAGATGTTTTCGTAAGTTGTGGGACACTCATGTTATCGTAAGTGGTTTTATCCAGCCTAGTCCCAGTCATTCTGAAGCAAGGGCGAGAAAAAACGTGGATGTAGAACGAGACTGGGACCTAGGGTGTGACATCACCGCTAAAGGAAGGTGCTTCAGAACGCCTAGCAGATTTCAGCATTTTTAATATGGTGGAAAATTTATATATACAAATAACCTTGTAAATACGACAAATGTTGACAATGTTCGTTGATCATGTTCGATGTCTACATAACCAAATTCAAACTGTATTAAAAATGTGCTCAATTAAAAAAATTATATAGAAATTTACGATGCTGAGTCTGTGCAATGGTCGTATAATCATTGATGTTATTTATATACTCGCAAGTTGTGATCAACACTAGATCGACCCTACTATTATACACAACTACACTTTCTACTTGACAGATTTAAGTAGCTGAGGACATTGGAAATACTTGTTGATAGACTGTGTTGTAGTCGAAGACTTGGCATAATTTTCAATCTTCTAGATAGCAGTTAATATGGCTTTATATTTTAGTAAACACGAGTCATATTTAGCCCATTATTCCATTCTGACCGTATGGTAGCGAAACGTAGTCTATTTCATTGTTCCGACAGCATTAGAGCGAAACTAATGACTTAATTATAAACGCAAAGGAAATTTCCATAACATTTTCTATTTACAAATGCGGTATGCTTGGTAACCAGGCCAGGGACCACTTTTTTGCAATCAGGGACCATTTTACCGAAATCTGCTAGGCTTTCTCGCTGAAGCGTTCCGCACAGCACACCCAGGCATAAAACGTTTAAGACTTATTTAAATATATCAAAGCAGCGAATAGAGAGAGAGAGCCTGGGACTAGGCTGGGTTTTATCTATTACGTTTATGGTAGCGCTAGTATCAACATTGGCTTTAAATGAGTGTTGACAAACATTGACAATGACTTTCGGGGTTTTTTGATGATCTTTTATCGCATAGACATAATCTTCATCTTGATCGTTTTTTTAGGATGTTTGCCCCCTGATTTTGTTTCATTCTCTGCTTAAATTTTGACTGTCCACGACAAACTTTAGCAAAGTGATTGCACTTACCACATTTGCGACACTGCTTTCCTTTTGCCGGACATTGTCCTTCACGAGGGTAAATTCTGCCACAGTTTTGACATGTTGTTGTATGCTTTGGCGTTGTGTAAACTTTGTAAAGGCCATCTGTCCTCGATTTCTTCGACTCTATGTCACGAGCTTGATACTCACTTTGTTCCGCTCAACGCCCATCCAAAAGTATAGACTTTAAGTCATAAGTAGGATCCCTCAGTGCACGTTTGCGAATGCGTGATGATGTTCCGGCTGTGATGTTCCGGCTGTGATGATGCAGTATTTGGCATGCAAACACTGGTTGCTTCTTGTAAGTCCCTTGCAATATTTAGCCATTTGGTTTTGAGTTCAAAGAGGTAGTGGTTCATCCCATTCCAGTTCATTTTGCCACAGTTCTTGCATTAGTAGTTTTGCTTTGACAGTTACAGGAGATAAAAGTCCAAGAGGGTTGTAGATCTAGGAAGAGATTTGTAATACGTGACGCTTAGTGATAGTTGGGGTTGGTGTGTAATCCTGTGCTGGTGGGAAACTTAGAATATCTGTTGATGGATTCCATTTCAAACCGAGGATGTTGACAATGGTTTTAGGATCATTTGTTCCATCTTTTACAGCAATTTCTTGAAGTGATGAACTATTTGATGCCCAAGAGTGGAGATTGAAATGTGCATTATGCATAATAGATCTGGCGTCGTTGTAGTACAGAATACTGTCCGTTTCTTGGTCACAACCAGAGATTATGTTGTCAACATAAATATTGTCCTTTATTTCTTGAGCTATAGTCTGACTGGTGTTGTAGTGGATTCCTTTCGAATAGGGTGATGTGGAATGTAATGCGCTTTGTCGGTTAGTTTGGTTTCTTCGACTTTCTCAATGAATCCTCGCTTAGTTTGCTCTTCAATAATGTCGCTATAACATTTGAGCAAATCAGGGGTAGCGGAAAGTCGTTGGATCATTGCTCGAGTACGACGCTCACATGCCAGGTAGTTGTCTGGGTGGGCTGGTGCATCATCTTTCCATGGAAATTTTGCTGCATAAGTGCCATTTGGGTTTCTGGTAATTGAGGTGTTGATGTAATTTTCCAGGAAATCTTGTTGGTTTTCAGTGCGGGATGGCGGAGTGATGCCTATAGATTCGAGAGACCCGAATCTTTCTAGATCAAGTTCTGTTCTTTTGGTGGATCTGACTGTCTGCAACAGGTTCACAAGGGTGTTGGAGGGTCTGGAAGGTGTTGGTAATGGCCCAGAGAGAAGATAACCAAGTCTTGATGCAACGGCAGTGGGTCCCTGACCATGAATCACTTCATCTTCTACTATATCCTAGTAATGGTCTGCTCCGATAAGCAATGATATTTGAAAGTCCTCTTGAGCTGTAATAGGATGGGCTAGGGTTAAATTCTTCAGGTGGGGCATATCATTTATATGTTGACGAGATGGAATTTGGAGGGGCGTTGCTATCTCCTCAACTACAAGAACCTGTAATGGAATTTGTTGTCCAGTATGGGTGACAATATAAACAGTAGCAAGTGGTAGGTGATGTCTAGCTGAGGTTTGGGCTCCAAAGGCTGATAGTGCAATTTCCTCTGATTGGGAGGACATAACTCCAAGCTGGTTTGCTAGGTCAGTAGTAATGAAAGACCGTTGAGCTCGTTCATCAAGAAGAATATTGGCATCACAATGAAGTTGCCCAGTGCTCACAGTTGCAATGGCTGTTTTCAAAAGCAAAACATGTCTTACTGTTGGAGAATGAGTGGATGGGACTAGAGTTGCATGGATAGGTGTTGGCTGTGGTGTATTTGGAGTAGCGGGAAAGGCTTGTTGATTGTTGGGATTTGGGTGGAAAGGAGTGGGTGGAGGTGTTATTGGAGGGGGGTTGGGAGGTGTCATTGAATGAGGGCATAGGGTGGTGTGGTGTTTCCCCTTACATTTCAGACAATGGAACTTGGATGGGCAGTTTGATAATTTCCCAAGCAATTGAAACACAGTTTTTCCCTTTTTGCTATTGTCCACCTCTCTTGGCAATCCTTTACAACATTACCATTGTGGGTGGGGTGAGACCCTTGCAATATACACATTGTTTAGTAGTGTGTCCTGGCTTCTATCTTGTGCTTTGGATGTTGGTTTCCTTGTGTTTGCGTGAAAAACGAACCTGCTGTTGTGTGTTTAGGTGATGGCAGTGTAGCTTGCATTAGATTGGATTGAGCACCGGCTTCTAGAATTCTTATTTCTTTAAGAATGGACTCTCTCAATTGTGCAAATTTCCATTCGGGACTGTCATGGTCACAGGCTAAGTTTGTTCTGAGTTGATGTGGTAATTTTCCAAGAACAATTGGGACTAGGGGTTCTCCATAGTTATTGTGGGATTTTCCGAGCAATTCTAACGCCTGAATGTGGTTTTCCATAGTGTCATAGAATAGCTGTAAGCTTGCTAGTTCATAGTTTGTGTTTTGCAGATCAAGTAGAGACTGCATGTGTGCATATTACTTTGGTGGGGTTACCAAATCGTTCCTTTAGGAGTTGAATAGCTTTGGTATAGTTACGGTTTATGAGGGGAAACCCTGCAATAGCTGTTCATGCATCACCCACCAGTTGGGCCTTAAGGTAACTAACCTTTTGTATGTCCCCAAGGCAGGGATGGATCCAGCATGATCTGGTAGGGGGGGTGCAAATTTTTTTAGGGACCCCTATTTAAAATTTTTTTCTGGAAAAAAATTGTTTCGGAGAGCAATGACCTACCCCCCCCAAATTGAATTGTAATTGTTGTTCACAGTTTGCTTATCATCATGTTATTACTCAAATTACTGAATCTCATTTTGTCTCTAATAATTTTTTGCTTTATCATGAAAAATGGCACCCCCCCTGGCCATGGCTAGGGGGGTGTGCACCCCCCCAGTAAATCCATCCCTGCCCCAAGGGTTGAATTGGAGTGGACTGTGGCTTCAAATGAGTCCTGGAGTGTAAACCTGATTGATAGGGCTGGGGTGTAGTTGGTAGGGTTGGTGGAAATACTGGTATAACTGGGGTCTCTTGGTGAAATTGTGTTTGTAGCGGGGTGACCATCTTGTTGTGACTGTGCATTTGTAGGGAGTTGACTATCATGTTGTGATTGTGCGTTTGTAGAGGGTTGACTATCCTATTGTGATTGTGTGTTCAACAATTTCATTAGGTGTCCCTGAGTCTGTTTGATCATTTGTGTTCACTGTTGTTGATGGGGATTGACTGCTTGTATTTTCTAAGACCACTTGAGTTACTTCAGAGGGGGAGTTACTTTGAGACGATTTAGTAGATAGAAAATGTTCAATAGTGTTACTTATCTGAGCTGCTGTCTCGTCAATTTCTTCTTTGATGCCTCGGTTTGGAATATTTCTTTCTCCAGTTCCTTTGGGTCTTCGATCATCCCTACGATTTTCTCATCTAGCTCTTCCAGAATCGACCTTTTCCGAGCTAATTGATCAACGATTCTCTTTAAGGATGTAATATCACTGTCCATTAGGGGATCCTCCTTCGTTGCAATATTTGTAACCTTCTTGATTGTTTGTGTCAAATGGGCCCGATAGGCCGCTCGTGATGCTTGAAGTTTTGGTAGATTTTCCGCCATAATCCTGGCCACGGCACCAAATAATATAGAGTAGAATATATATAATGGAAATATAGTTACTTTGACTTTGTTTAATAGAGTAATAAGTGCATAGAAATAGTACAACCTTTGAGAATATAAACCAAATACACTATAGTTTTAGTCAATCGAGCACATGTAAATATTCCTCATGCACATGCACTAAAGTCCTGAGCTATATATACTGGAATGTTCATATCTCTTCGACAGATGGGTAAATCATTTAACTTTAACAAATGAAATCGCCGGGTCGGTTTTGGTTCCTCTGGAGAAAAATAGAGAACATACAATAAAAAAACACGAAACATTTAATTAACTGGATCAATGGACAATAGGAAACCTCCTTTTATGATTTCACTAGGCTTTTAGCTGTTGACACGTTTTCGTACCATATGGAGAAAAAAAAATGAGCAAATAGGAGCCAAATCAAAAATTGTATTATTTTACCTCTGCCAATTAGGGTAAAACTTTTGAAAATCAACTCTCTTCAAGTCAATTACACCTCAATTAACTATGCATATGCGGCTAAAATCTGTTTATCAAGTAATTTACACACAATAACGTGCTGAAGCTGGATTACCTTTTTTTGAGACACCCTATGTAGGCTAATCTGTTTGTACCACTTGTATATAGAATATAGAATCAGTATGCATTATTTACTTTCAACAACTCCTTCGTCTACTAATTGCAGGGTAAAATATATTATATATTGCAGTATGTACTATATTCATATCAATATCCATAATTTTCCTACAGTAGAACAAACGTTGCATGATGACGCAAAATGCCAAACAAGCAAAAAGTTGTCAAACAATTCTCCCAGGAAGGTAAAACAACGGAAGATCATTGATCGGCAGCGAAAACGATTGAAAAGAATAAAACGACAGGCATTAAACAACAAGCAAATAAGAAAACCACTCAACTTACAGAAAGACGATGCAATTAAAATATTATGAAAGTTCTTGCCTGAAAAAATATTAAATTCATTGACATGCAAATTGACCTGCATCAGAAAAACCCCAATGGTAGAAGATAAATGAGGAAACAAAAAGATTCGCACTGTCACTGTACCACGTCAGCGGCAAAGCATACAGAGTGGTCACAAAATTTTTCTCCCTTCCATCAAAGAAAAGCTTAATGAGTTGTGTCTCCGGTTTACCACAATGTCCTGGATTAACCAAAGAAACCATGAATGTAATAGCTGAAAAGGTGAGCATGGGTGGTGAGTGTAGTTACTGTAGTTATTACCCCCGCTTTACAGCACACCTTTTGTCAACTGGCTTTTATTTGCAAAATATAAAGCCTATTATTGTATTATATTTTATTAAATACTAAATAGCACTATTGTTAATTACTATTATCAGGTTAAACTAATGGATGAAAATGCCAAACTATGCACCATCTCCATGGACAAGATGTCTCTCAAAGTAAATCTTGCATACAACTAATGCAAAGATGAAATAATTGGCCTTGAGGACTTTGGAGATGGTGAGAAAGGTACAGACCTAGCATCATCGGCATTGGTTTTCATGGCTTGTGGAGTGTTAGAGAAGTGGAAACAACCACTTGGTCACTGTCTTATTCACGAGTCAGGTGATAGTGACAAACTGAAAGAAAAACTGTTCGAAGCAATTGATAAAATTACAGCAATTGGCTTAACAGTCCCTGCCATTATTTCTGACCTTGGTTCGAGCTTCATCAAATTGGCAAGGGAACTAAACATCACCCCTGAAAAACCTTGGTTTATACATAATGGAGTTTGAATAATCTACACATTTGATCCACCTCATCTTATCAAGGCTGTTCGAAATAACATGATGAACTATGAGTTCCACTTTGAGAAGAAGGTATTCTATTTCTTAAAACATTATTTTTGTATTTAACCCTATAACCAACTCATTCCCAGTGTTCTATCCACACTCCCGGTGCCCTCAGGTCACTCTATAATGCCTGTGATATCACTTTCGTGTTTTACTCTTGCCAACACCAGACAATTTTACTTGTGAAAGGTCGACCAGGTGTTATAGGGTTATTGATATTTGTTAACTGTTAGTTTGTACACGCCCATCTATCTATATATATCTTCTTCTAAGGTTGCAAGATGGGAAGATGTGTAAGTTCTGTACGCCCATGACAAAACTCTGTCAATCTGGTGTTACCCCAAATTGACAGAAGACCATATCCATCCAAATGGCTTCAAAAAAATGAAGGTAAAGCTGGCAACTCAAGTATTGAGTCATACGGTTCCTGCAGCAATGTTGATGTATGTCAGCATTGGCACACTGCCACCATCAGCCACGGGAACATCAGAGCTGCTCTCCAAGTTTGATAAAGTATTTGATTGCTTGAACAGCAGCAGCTTTAAAGCAGGAAAAATCTTGAATAGACCCATTACAAGCACATCGTCACATCTCCAGTTCATGAATGAAATGAATCCATTCATTGCGTCGATCAAAGTGATCAATCCACAAAGTAAGAAAGATGTTACGAACACCTTAAAATGCCTACAACGACTACAAATAACCTTAGAAGGAACTCTTGAACTGTGACAACAATTACAGAATAAACCAACAATCCAATTCCTGTGCACACGTAGGCTGAACCAGAATTGAACCAGAATGCAATTACGTATGTTGCAGGATATTTGCTAAAGAAATGTTTGGAGAAACCAGAATTGAACCAGAATGCAATTACGTATGTTGCAGGATATTTGCTAAAGAAATGTTTGGAGAAACACAGATGCGATATTTGTGCAAAATGCCTAGTCAACTTAGAACTAGACTTTATTCTGTTATTTCAAAGCGTATGAGTCATCAACAAAACCATTTAGTGGCCTACTTGTTCCATGGAGCAGACTTTGTAGACTACATCACACACTTGGAGAGTACATTTGTAAATGAACTTCCCAAGTCCTTAAATAAGATAGGAATTGGGAAACATTTAATGGGGAAACTCAGTTCCCCAATGCTCAGGTCTTCCTGGGAAATATGTTTTAAAGTTGTTTATAAGAATGAGGCTGTACTATGCATTGAAGTTTGGCAACCAAGACTTTTACTCAACAAAAAGGAAAAGTAGGAAGTATTTTAAGATTACATATTACATAGTACATACTAACACAGCCAATGAATAGTAAATAAGTATTTATAGTATTCAGTATGGTTTCCAGAGGACCGATTGTCATGTCGATTAAAAAACCTACCATAACCCGTTCCAATCATCAATTCTTCTCATTTTATATTTGTTAGCGTTGATCAAATACACTAATAAGATATACCAAAACAGCAAGTGTATAAAATTCGAGCTTGATCGCCAAGTTTATGCACAAATATTTTTAAAAAGACTGAGAAGGTATAAGTGCCAGGATACCTTACCCCTGATCAGTGACGCCATCCTGGAGTGTACACGGAAGTTTTTCATGGGTACAAAGTGCCGTGTGCACTCCAGGATGGCGTCATATGATGGCGTATTTTCACGTCAGCACGTAAAAAATTTCGGACGTTTTCCTTCAGCCAAAACACATAGGAGTGTCCCTTCTGGTCTAGTATCTATTCTGTGGTTACAATGTATTGCACATTAGGCCTACTTCTTGGTTATTTTATGTGGTGACAGTCTAACAAGTATTTATGTTTCTTTAAATGGTTGGACACTTGTGGTAGAACTGTAGCTAATATATTCTTTAAAATTGTAGCTTTATATATACTTCTTACTGGCAAACTATTTCCCATTTGGTATCAATGAAATGTCGCACTAAAAATTAATGATCTTCATAATATAACAGAATTTATGTACTGACAAACTTACCGCAATTATTACACACCACAGGCTGCCCAAATCGTTCCTCTGTTCCTGGAACAGGAGTCCCACAGATAAAGTGGACAATTTATTTACATCTCACACACTTGTGTGCCCCTGTGACATTGCAGGCTGGAATTTAGAATTATTTGGTGTTTTAGTGTTTATTAATTTTTATACTTTTATACATTGGGAATATTATAATTTTGCATCGGACAGTCCATTTATCTGGACCTCCAATCACTTCAATGTCTTCTTGTTCAGTTATAAACTCAGTTATGTTTGTTGCAGAGCTTCTGCAACACATCTTTTTCTCATGTGTTTTTTCTCCTCGCCCAGGTCAAATTTCATTGAAGGAACTCATTCCAAAAATGGGTCCCAGATTGAAACTTAAACGAGCTATTGAAAAAACTTATGACCATGGGAAACAAAGTGCAGAATGTAAAGTCAATTTTTCAACAGTGACAAGCGGTACCTCCACAACAAGCACAGGAAACATTGCCTTGAAAGGACAGATGAAGTTACAAGTTGGGACTGAAGGGTGGAGTCTAAAAAAATTAAGTGAAAAGGTATTGTTGTAAAAGCAGTTTTGCACATTTATACTGTACATGTGTTGATATATAATTATATATAATGCCCTCCGATGAGGATTTTACCACAAAGGATAATGTTTCGTTTTCTAAATTTAAAGGCCTAAGCCTTCTGGAGTATGTGAAAGCTAGGTCAACTTTTTGTTTGAGCAATCATATCAATCAACACTGTAGAAACAAGGGGGAATTTCGTTCTCGACCAATCAGCGCTTTTGTTTACATTTTTGCCCTAAGCCAATCAGAATGCGTAAAACGCTTCATCACATGAAATTTGTAAACAAACATATGGGGTTACTTCAGAGCTTTGCTGCAAGCGGTTTTTTGGTTTTTTGCCATGAAATTCATATATGTTGTTCTTAAAAGAATTCTCCTCAACTTCCTCGTGGCGATTTTTGATTAATTGCGTGATTGCGAAGATATGGGTCTTCAAACTTTGCGTTGCGCAGGCTTAAATACCACCCCTCGAATTTGTAGGTTCCGAACGGATTAGCGTTTTCAAAAGCCTTTCAAATCGAGGTTTGAGACGTTTTATTTTTTAAAAGATACTTTTATCTTCATATTTTCACATTAACTTATTAATATCCTGTGTAACAAGTAAACAGCACATTTCCGGGCTGGGACAAGTTGACATGTCGATTCCTTGCCAAACAGTGTGGCGATCAATATGGCGAATATCTAAATACAGGGAATTTTTAAAATTTTGTTGGTATAAATGGGATAAAGAAGCTCATCAAATATTTGGACTATGGACCTTCAAACTTATGCCAAGTATTTATTTGATTGATTAGCTCAATAACTGTTTTTTGGCTCGTTTTTCGTCGATTTCGACAGTCGAGCTTAGTCGACTTCAAAATAATGTGTCAACATTGCGTGTTGCAGCCTGTGGATATGAATATTTTCGTTTGTTTGACCATAACACTTTTCTTCACTGCTTTTAATCCTTGAATGACAATATATTCATTGGTCTCAGAGTCCTAAACTTAAGGAAGATGGATGACTTTGGGACACCTGATATCAAAATTTTGTTCAGATATCAAAATTTATGGACATATATAGTCACAGAGCATACTGTAGTCATAGGACCCTCATTGTTTCTTCCTTGATCTGGCCACTAGTCACAAATGGGGCCTGTTCTTATGACCTGGCTAGGCAGGAGACAACATTTGCCAGTATTGCCGATATACTATCCTGCTACTATCCTGGCTAAGCACAAGGTATCCTTTGCCAGAATCCCAACTATGCAAGCCAAGAAATTCACCATTTACAGTAAACATTCTATCCCACAACCAGGCAACATGAACTTGCCGCCTTTAGGGTCCCATGCTGCCTAGCCCAGATCATATCAACAGACCCTTAGCAGATCCTGAAACTACAATTGGAATATTTTAGGCCATAATCTTGTAGAATCAACCAGGTATTGTCAGTAGTATAATATCACACTGGGCATGCAAGCTGGTCTTGCCCATTTATATGGGCTAAATATACACCTGCCCATGGTAAGATACTGCCTCGTATATTAATTTTATATATGTTTGAGATTGCATTCACATGAAACAGCCTGATTGAATTTATTGGCCCAGCATTTGCTTGAGCAAGTTGATATCCTGCATTGGGAGTCTCACACTAATAAAGGTCATAAGCTGGCCAACCAGCTCACTCGACTAAAAATCATGTTATAATACACAATTTGGCCCAAGTAAGTAAGAAATTGATTAATATAAGCCTTCTGAAGCTGTTGTCATTAACAAATTATCCAGCATTTCACACAAATTTCTTGACAACAGTTGCCAGGTTAGCCTGGCTACTGTGAGGCAAATGACAAACTAGCCCTAAAAGAAAATCCAGCCATGTTTGCTGGGCTAGCATGGCCCATTTTGACAGCCCTTAAAGGCCTATTTGTGAGGTTACTGGGGGCTTAATATTGGATTGCATTATATAATATGTGTAAAATATTCATTTGTGCACAGGTATTCTGGTAATGCACAAATTTATGGACTAAAATGTTTCAATTATAGTAGATCGGGATCTATTGGGGACCTGTTTATATGATCTAGACTATCCAGAACACATGCTTGAAGCCTAATTCATGTTGCCTGTTTGGTATACAGTTCTTATTGATCCTTATTGTATATGGTGAATTTCTTGGCTTACATATAGCCAGGATTCTGGCAATGGAAACCTCACGCTTAGCTAGGCTGATAGTAGCAGGATAGGATAGAACATACTGACAAATGTCGTCTCCCACCTAGCCAGGTAATATGAACAGGGCCCAATTGTGACAAGTGAGCCAGATGAGTAAAAAAACAATGAAGCTCATATACAGGTATATATCCATAAATTTTGATACCTGAACAGCAACATTGAACAAAATCATTCTGTCCCAATGTCATCCATCTTCCTTAAGTTTAGGACTCTGAGACCAATGAATATATTGTCAATCAAGGATTAAAACCAATGAAAACAAGTGTTATTGTCAAACAAACGAAAATATTCATGTCCACAGGGTGCAACACGCAATGTTGACACATTATTTTGAAGTCGACTAAGCTCGACTAAATGTCGAAATCGACGAAAAACGAGCCAAAAAACAGTTATTGAGCTAATCAATCAAATACATACTTGGCATAAGTTTGAAGGTCCATAGTCCAAATATTTGATGAGCTTCTTTATTCCATTTATACCAACAAAATTTTAAAAATTCCCTGTATTTAGATATTCGCCATATTGATCGCCACGCTGTTTGGCAAGAAATCGACATGTCAACTTGTCCCGGCCCGGAAATGTGCTGTTTACTTGTTACACAGGATATTAATAAGTTAATGTGAAAATATGAAGATAAAAGTATCTTTTAAAAAATAAAACGTCTCAAACCTCGATTTGAAAGGCTTTTAAAAACGCTAATCCGTTCGGAACCTACAAATTCGAGGGGTGGTATTTAAGCTTGCGCAAGGCAAAGTTTGAAGACCCATATCTTCGCAATCACGCAATTAATCAAAAATCGCCACGAGGAAGTTGAGGAGAATTATTTTAAGAACAACATATATGAATTTCATGGCAAAAAACAAAAAAACCACTTGCAGAAAAGCTCTGAAGTAACCCCATATGTTTGTTTACAAATTTCATGTGATGAAGCGTTTTACGCATTCTGATTGGCTTAGGGCAAAAATGTAAACAAAAGCGCTGATTGGTCGAGAACGAAATTCCCCCTTGTTCACTGTAGATGTAAAGGGTTCATCAATGTTGCAAACAAGATTGCTGAGTTTGGATATGTGAAGCTATAAGATGCTTTTTTTTGTGTCACCCAACATATTCAGCCCTGTGATGCATGCTTTAAGGAAACTGATCAAAATAATGAACCTAGCTTAATTCCTGACCAACATAGTTTTCCTTCCTACAAATCAACTCACGCTAAAAGGCTGCTTCTGCAACTGACCACATTGCAGCTATAACAATAGATGGACTTTCAACATTTCCCTGTGACGCTACTGCTAACATAATAATGCTGAAATGTTTGTTGGAAAATTCAAAACAGTGAAGCTCCACAAATAGTTTATCTAAGGAACATTTCATGGAACTTATCTTGATGTGTAATTCGGACAAGGAAAGAGATTCTTTAAAGTATGCATTTAGAAAGGTTTGTGGTGCTTCAGCAAAAACAATGTGGAAAATGTATGGTGTCGAAAACTACAACAGAAAAGCAAGACAACTTGAAGATGTTGTTGAACATATCCAGCAAATACGGCAAGGCATCAAACATCTTGCCAGTATCAAAGAACAAGCTGTTTTAATGTCTCTGGGACTTCAATTGTTTGAAGACTCTGATTCTGACAAGTCCGAAGGTAGTGAGCAAGATACTGATGACATGTTCTCAGACAACTCAGAGGAAAATATCAAAACAAATGTGCAGGCTACACCAGTCCCAATGCAGTCAAACATTGTTCAAGATCTCCTTGTGAAGAGCAACTTTAACTGGTATGCTATGTCAGAGATCGTCCAAGAAGAAATTGCTGGTGTTGATAACACCAATGTCAAAGATGTACTGTCCAACTTATCAAAAGAAATAGAGTCCATAGGATTAAATGAGAAGGAACTATACTTGGTGACATAGAGTATAGATGCATATGATAAACAAGAAAGGATGAATAAAAATGCTCAAGATATTGCTGATGGCCTGATATTGTCAGATGAAGATGAACCCACACAGCCAGTCAACTGGAATGCCATATCAGATCCACTTTGTAAGCAAGGAAAGGAACTTTTAATAAAGAAGATTAAGTCAGTTAAAAGAAAACAACATAGAGATATAAAGAAGATAGCGAATGAAAGAATTCTGAAGTGCAAATGAAGCAAAAATGTTGGGAAAATCTGAAAGAATGCCCAAACATTGGAAAGGAGATTGAAAAGTTTGTACAAGAATCTGGAATTGGTGCGGATGCTTGGAGGAGAACAGAAAGTTAACAAAAAAGTCACTTAACAAAATCAAGGAACATGTTGAGGCTAAGTATGGAAAAAAGTATAGCTATGGAAGCATAGTTCAGTTATGTGTTGCAAGAAATGTACGTGGCCAGGATCACTTGCAGAAGATCAAGAGAAGGATTTGATCTCAAGTTTAACCTAGATTGCCATTGGTCGAATGCCCTGTATAAAGGATTAGACCACATCCAGTATGCAACTTCAGCAAACAAAGTTGTATTAAACAGAGATGATCTATCAGTTTTTCGTTTTGATTCCATGGCTACAAGTAATGAATGTGCTTCCCTCTGCATGAAAGGGAATGTTTCTGTATCAACAAAGTCGGATTATCAACAGAAATACCCTTGTACCCTACAAACAACGTCATACAACTTTACTGGCACCAACGATGAGGGTGAACTGTGTGCAGGCGTTGTCAAAGGTGCAGTTATACATAGCAAGAATCCAGCACAACATGCAGCGGATTTAGAAATGATAGAAGAGAAAGAACAGTTCCAAACAAAATTTAAGAATCAACAGACAGGACTTCCTAAAGAACTAGAATGCATCCCAGTTGATAGTGGAAGTGACGAGGCACCATGTTTTGAGCAAGTTCAATTTTGGTGGGCAAAGAGACACTTTGTAAAACCTACACGTATGCATCTTGTTACAAGTAGACACAGTGGTGGTAGCAATTTAAACCGTGTGGAATTACAGAATGGATGTGAGGTAAAAGCTAGAACAAACCTGCTCGTTCCCATGACATTGAATGGCCTGAATTGTGATGAATCTGGCAAGACTGATAATGTAAAGTTGAAGAAAAACATATCTGATGCCATTAATGTGCACAATTCAAGAGTCGACCAGGCATCTTGTGGAGATACTGAAATAAATTTATTCAGGGGATCAGATTCCAAAGCTAATCAAATTCTGGACATGCATGTTAAGAGCTTCTTAAGTGGAACAAAGACAGACAAAGATAAGTTGAAATTGGAGCATCCAAAGGTATACAAAGAAATCAAATTGATATGGGATATCCAAAATGCGCACGTAAATACATCAGTTCCTCAGAGGTACATATTCCATCTTATTTGTTGTTACAGACATGACTGTCCCCATCCATTGTGTAAGGCGGGAAAGCCAGAAAATGATATCTTTTGGTATGATGGCGGCCCACCAATTGATGTTATACCTCTTCCTCTTCCAGAGCGTTTCACTTCGGAGCAAAGCCAGAATGTCCAATATATAATTTTTCATTATGTCGGATGTTTCTATCACTAGTCTTGTCAATTGTTATACAGTAAGCCATTATGTATGTGTGTAAATTGCTATAATGTAGCTTTATAACATTGTTTATTGCTTATAGAGCTATTTTCTTCTTACTTTATATACTCATGGAAACACCACTTAAAACTGAACAGAAACAAAATTATTCAAAATGCAGTAAATGCCTTGCTGAAAATCCTCCGGGCATAGTATCGAATGTCAGAACTGGTTTCACCAATATTGTGTGGCTATTGAAAGCACAGACATTGAAGGGATATGGTATTGCAACAGCTGCATTCAGAAATCTGTCTGCCAATCATGTTTCCTCGCTGAACCGTCAGATAAAACTGATGAGGAAGTGTTATGGATTGCCTGTGACAGATGCCGAAATTGGTATCATACATTGTGTGTAGGGCAGATTGATATTTCAAAGCAGTGGTTTTGCAGAATATGCACATAGATAAATAAGATAATAACATAGTTGCTGTAGCAGGCGATTAGTTCTAATTGCCTGTTGGCAAGGGTCACACCCATTGTCTCCCTACAGACTACGCATTAGGCATGTGCCTCGCGCACATAATCGTGCAAGAAACAGCAACAGTTAGCTCAGAGCCCGTCAATAGTCTATCATCCGATCCCTGAGTTGTGGCATCATTTAAATTATGCATGTGCAGTCTCCGATTTTATACCAATATATTTAGCATTTTTGTTGTGGTACGTTAAATGATATATTGCGCATGCGTAACCGATGAAAAGTGTAAAAAGTGTGCATGTGCAACAAGCTTTTACATCCCACAAGCAAAGAAGCAAATGTTTTAGCTTAAATTCACTGATTGCAAGTACGGCATGTTTGTCCATTTTTAAATGGGAGTGCAACTATGTTATTACAAACTAATACCATGGCTTTTCGGGAGATTAGTGATTAAATGACCCCTTACCCTCGGCAGGTTTGCGGAATTCCCTCAGGCTTCGCCCTTTATAATAATTATTGTTCAACTATAGTCAACTAAGGGCTCAAACTATAGTCTTTACTCAACTGTATTACTCATTTGCTCAAATTAAGCTTCATTGTGAAAAAGTAGTGGCGAAGCCAGATGTCCTGCTTGTCCTGCTGAGCATGACATACAAAATTTCAGATGAATTTTTTATGCATATAATTTTTAAAAGAAAACACTTTTATAATAGAGAAATTCATTATGTAAGTTAATAAGAATTTTTAAATAGAGAAATTCATTATGTAAGTTAACATTATTTAACTTATTTTGAATGAATATCGAGCCTTTGTATGCATGCAGGCAAAAGCAGGGAAAATGGGTGGCTTGCACAAAGTTTAGTCCTGCTCAACTCATGCAAGCAGGACAAACCTAAAATTCTAATGCATTTCATTGGTTAAAACAGCTCTCAAGAATGCAAAACATGCAAAAAAATATGCCTTTTACTCCTGCTCGAGCTTCAATGCATGATAAAGCTTTGAATACTCTTCTGAATTATTCATTTCTCGGTGGCAAAATAGATTTATGATATGTAAATTAATCCGATTCAACCAAGCGTGTGTGAAAGTACACAAAATGTTATTTTGGATCTCTTACAAAGGTCGTTTTGTTCCAGTAGCAAATCTTTGTAGAGAATGTACACAATATATACAGTAGAATGAACAATGCATAACAATGCATTACGGGCATTCAATCAAGTACAGAGCTAGGAAAGAGTGACACAGGGTTGTTTTCAAATATATAAACATTTCAGTGAAACATGAATATTTTCATTGAGAAAATGTTTAAGATTCTAGGCATTCAATTAAGTACCGATATTATTTTGGCGGTATTTTCATTATAGTATTATATAGAGCTAGGAAGGAGCGAGACTGTTGTTTTCAAATATATAAACATTTCAAACATGAATATTGAGAAAATCTTGAGATTATACACAATATATAAATTGATGTTATGTATTGCCGGCATTCAATTAAGTGCCAATATTATTTAGACCGTATATTCACTATACATCAACTGTATAAGGTGCTACACCACAGATTTACGTGTACCGTAACGGACCTTGTTTACATGTCTAGCACAACGCCAACAGCAACGGTGCAACAAGAACTCTATCAGACCTTAAGAGGATCTATCTGTGTCAAAGCTTGTCAAAACTGCTATAAACACTGCTATAACAGGAAAATATTGAGATCTAAAGTGACATTATTGAATACATGTGAAAAGCTGAAAATGACTCATGAAACACAACGAGACATTGGGAATATTATAAATCAAAGGTCAATGAGACTTGTTATTGTGAAACATGTCACACCTAGGTTAAAATGCGGAAGCGGACGAAGTGGATCAACAGAACGGATACAGGGATAAAATTTATTTATTTTTATTATTTATTTATTCAACTTTGCCAGGTAAATTACACGAATGACATGCATGCAATACAATGCAGAACGGATGGTGATAAAATGTGTCCTTTTAATGAGTTTTTTCCACCACTTTTTTATGCTCCCAATGCAAATGAAGTTTTAGAATATGCAAAATTTGGTTGTCGGTGAAACAATTTAAATTTCGAGGTGTACCATCACAATAGGCACAAGGCACGACGTTTCTGATGTGTTAGGCTTGTTTCAAACGTCTTGCCACTTGTGTGCCGAACACATTAAAAACAATAAATAATGAGTTGAAATGCCTGTGGTAACTGTTTATTTCGCAGCGTAAGCCATCAGCTTTACAGGCAGAAAGTCGTCATGCCCAAAGTAAGAGCCCTTGCAACTCAACAATTAAAACGAGTTACAAAGGAAGTGGTAACGAATTGTTTAGATCTTAAAAACGTTGTTTTAATCCACATTTTTGAATAACGTAGATCCTACTCTAGCCTATGCCTGCACTTACTGGTCCATGTTGCAATGGGTTTTTCAATTTGAAACTTTATACTATCTTTGGATCCTTACTCCTTAGTTTACCATTCTGTAATGCTTCCTGAAATTGGTGATCAAATTGTCATTCTTGGCTAAAATATGGTGAATTTGATGTCATATTGGAGCTTAGAATTCAATGCTCAAATCGAAGGAAATGGCATTTCTGGGGTTCTAATTTTCAAAATTTTCTGGGGGCATGCCCCCAGAAAGCCTTGCACCTTCGCCGCTCAAAGCCACTGTGATAAAGTAAACTATGTTTTCGAGAGGGCCAAATTTCCTCCGAAGGGGTGGCCAACGACCATGCAATTGCTTCGCAAAAGTCCTCATGGCCACCCGGAACAATATACATGCATGTATTCTCATATACACAGATGTTAAAGTTCAACCCAATTACCGTAATATGTAGTCATCGATTGGCCACTCTTTTTTGAATATAATTGACATGTAAAAAAAGATATACCAAAAAAATTTGATTTTACAGACCAACTTTATAATTAAGATGCATGTGGCTCAGTTATGTCAACTTTAACCTTCTAACACAACTTCTTGTATTTTAGATGTTCATGTTCATGATGGTAATAATTAAATTATTTATTTAATTAAAACAAAAATTAGGTCATTTGGGAAATGGGAAATACTATGCCTGTGGAGGGAATGGGTGATGATGTCTGTTTGGGAAATAAATAATAAAATGTATGATACTTGTGACAAGAAAATGTACCAAAATGGAGAAAGGATTAACTTTAAAATATTTCCTCCATGGTGAAGTTGTGAATGTTTTCTGGCATGACTCAATAATGATTGATAATTAAAATTTATTATGTACATATTACAGACTAAGTGTATTACAGATTTCTTATGAACTTTGGCAACATTTTTTCTAATTATAACTGTGATGAAGAGGATGAGCAGCTGCAGGAAGCTGAAGAACAAGTCCAGTCATGTAAGTTTAGAATATACTGTAATATGTTAAGTATTTTTCAATCAGTTTTATAATATAACTAATATAATATTATTTCTTTTCAGTAAATGAGCAACAACGTCGAAATGGTATGGTTCTTGATATTTACTGTACATATCTGATACTTTATTTATATATCTTTAATTATAATTTGTTTCACAAAAATACTATTTATTTTCAGTTCATGACCAACAACAACAACAGTGGCAACGTGGTAATAATATGCTTCTTTATAAAGTTTAATTATACCTCTCTTGTGTTATTCAAACTAATCAACATTATTTCATTTTAGTTAACAATGAACAACAACATGAAGGTATATATCTTGAAATAGATATATGCCATTGGGGCTGGTTGTTCAAAGCTGAGTTGGCTTAACCCTAGCCCTAGGTTAACATAAAATTCAAAGCAAACTTCCTGGCAGCTTGTCTATAAATTTGGAAATATTTCTTCAGAGATCTTGTCTGGATGGATAGTTTACTTGTCTGAAGTGTTGAAATAAACAAACATGCAGAAATACACAAACCAAAACAGCGAGTTAAATTTTAACAGAGTTACCGGTAACCCACCTTAGAACAACCGACTCCTGGGGTCTGTTGTACTCAAGGCACGATTATAACTAACCCTTGGTTGAAATTTAACACATTGTTTTTGTGTTAAATTAATTAATATGTATATTTAGAACTGCGTATCTGTTTATTTCATAACTTGGAAAAATTAAACTTCTTATGATCCAGACAAAGTTTTTGAAAAAATATTTCCATGTTTATATAAAGAAGCTATTTCCATGTTTATATAGAGTGCACTTCCAGTATGTACTGTAAACTAAATTAATATTCTTGAAAACTCATTGTACTTTCTTTAAATTTAGAACGTTGCTATAAGTGTGGCCTTCGTGGTCACTATGCTATGGCATGCCGTTCACGTATGTACTTTACCAAAACTACAGTAAATTTTAATCATTATATGTTCGAAAATGAATGTTTCTTCGACAATGTTCCTGGAAAATAAAAAAAGAAGTACAATTATAATCATACATATATAGAACACTAAACAATGTAAAAAATGCAAACCTAACTGTGCAATATATTACTGTACAATTGCACTTGCCTGGATGGAGTCAAACTGTGCAAATTCAATTTCCAGTACAGTTTCATTTAAGAGATTTTTTTAGAATATCGAGTAATTGGCGCTCAAAAATACCGTCATGCTTTGTGCGAAAATGGAGCAATTTGTTGTTTTTGTGAAAATAACTGGGTTATTCGAGTGTCAAGTAGTTGGATTTTAAAATAAATATCAGAAATCAATTCTGCATATCATGGTTAGTCTACTCAGAGCTCCTACAGCTGTGATGTACCAATTTTGGGATAAAATGACCACTTTCAATTTGTGGAAGGGCGAAGCAGGAGTGATATTTGACGACAGAAGTTACTCAGGTATGACAATTTTGGGAACTCTATTTTCACATTAAACAACATTACATCTTGCTGATTTTTTTTTAAAAGAGAGGTCCATTACCACACTTTGTAGAAACGGTAAACTCGTTTGAGCTGTGTGCCTAAATCCTCAATCATTGGGAATTTATTTCCTAAAAGTTGTTTATTTTCCCTTGTTGCCCATGGAAGTTATGGTTGCTGTGTATATTTTATCCTATTACTGCTTCAATCGTGCATGAATCTCAATAATTTTTATATAGTCACATAGCTGGATATTCTCGATATAAAGTGACATAATTTGATGCCTGTACAAAGAATAATCGACTATTAAGTGTCAAGTTTGGTTGACACATTTGTATAAAATTTGCCCTATTTTGACAACAAATTTCAAAAGTATAACAATTGCCTAAAAATTCGATTTTCTATACAACTGTGTGAGCGACACTTGTAAGCTTTATTGGATGTTTAGTTGACTTAGTGAAGGTTTAAATCACAATTTTTGAAAGAAATTGGAGTGGGAGGTCCTCGCAATATTTTTTATGTTTTGACCTCAAGTCAGCCATTTTGCCAACTGTTTACAAAAAATGATATAGGTTTCTATTTCTACAATTAAATAAGTAAATTTGTTGTTAGCTTTCAAAATATAAAAAACACAGCATCTATAGATACCAATAGTAGTATTAAAATTGGAAATGGAACTCGTGAAAAGTTGAAAAGACAAATATTGGAATATTGATTATAATACATTGGTTGAAAATCTGAAAATGGGAGCAAATATTTAGAGGTTGAATGTAAAAATCCAATAGTTTTCCTAAACTGTGTGTGCGACAGTCGTAAGCTCTATTGTAGATAGATAGATATTTAATAAATTTCTCCCTAAAAGGGTTTTTCAGAAATTATTTACAGTTACATGCATGCAGTAATAATTAAGGTTACAAATATAAGTTTAAACAATTATCAAAGACTATATACAAACTTTAGTTGGTTATACTAAATGTTATCTTTTGCAAGCAAATGTTTTTTAAGCGCTACTTTAAAAATTTTAAGTGAAGAGCAGTCTTTCAAGTTCTTGTCTAAATTGTTCCAAATATGGACGGCTCTATATGTAAATGATCGTTGGCCAGCTGCAGTCTTAAAGGTATTTGAAGTGAGTCGTATGCATGAGTCCTACGATCGTGGATTGATGACCTTTTTATCAATTTGTTACAAAGGTAGTCGGGTGCTAGGTTATTCACACATTTATAGGTCAAACTGGCGTCTCTAAAATATAGTAGTTTGTCTACTGGGAGCCAATTCAATTCACATAGAAGTGGAGTTACGTGGTCATACTTCCTGGATTTTGTGACGATTCTGCAAGCAAAGTTCTGGATCGACTGAACTTTCTTCACATTGGAGGCAGACGTATTCGACCACACCAAAGAACAATAAACCATTTTGCTGATGACCAAGGATGAAATGACTTCCGATAAGTTTTTGTGTCGAAACTATTTTTTGCACAATTTATCTGGCATAATTTGTTCAAACACGACGAGACAAGAAGTGAGACATGTTTGTCGTAATTTAGGTGTCTATCTAATGTGACACCTAAATCTTTAGCAGAGTCCACTGGTTTAAGAGACTTGCCCAAGAATGAAACTGATGTGTCTGTAGGTAGTTTGTTCATCATCTGCCTTGTTCCGATCATCATGTACTTTGTTTTCCCTGGGTTAATTAAAAGGTGGTTTTCACAGCACCAACTTGCAACTCTGTGTAGGTCTTGCTTGAGATTTGCAATTGCTGCATCAATCTGATGTAATGGGAAGGAGAGGAGAACTTTCGAGTCATCAACATACGATTCAAGGCTGGAGTCACGAGATACGGAGAGAAGATCGTTCAAGTAAATACAAAATAATAATGGTGAAAGCGTCGCACCTTGGGGTACTCTGTGAGTGCTTGGTAGTGGATCAGATAGGGCGGAGTTGATGCGGGTGGACTGAAAGTAGCTTTTAAACCACTGTACTGTTGCTGGGGAAGCGTCGACATTCGCTAGTTTGTGTAACAATCTGTGATGGTTAATACTGTCGAAGGCTTTCGAGACATCTAATAATACTAGAGCGGTGAGTTCCTTTTTGTCCATAGGCTCTAGCATCGTGTCGGTACTAAAAATGTTCAGGGTCTCTGTGGAATGGAGTTTTTTATTTCCGCTTTGATGAGGAGAGAGCAGGGTTTTTGCTCATAAGGTAGCTACTGAATTGTTCGAGAACAATTTTTTCACAAACCTTAGAAGCTATGGCAAGAAGAGATATCGGGCGGTTGTTTGACGCTACTTCGTGGTCTCCGTCTTTCACTATGGGAACCACTTCCGCTTCCTTCCATGCAATAGGGAATGTATGAAAGGTTATAGAGCAGTTAATTATATGTGTTAGGGGTCTAGTATAACAGGGAGACAGTCTTTGAGGATTCGAGAGTTTATCTTGTCTGGTCCCAGGGGATTTGTTCAATGGCAGGGATGCAATGACATGGCATACTTCTTCGCTGGTTACTGTTCGGAAGGAAAAGAGATCTTGGGAAGGCATATAAACGGTCTCTAAAGGTGTTTCCTCTACAGTAATGTTGTTCCCCTCTGCCAGACGAATTGACGCATCTGCTGCATTTTTGCCTACAGACAAGAAAAACTGATTGAATTCATTAGCAACTGTCTTTGGGTCTTTGGTGTAAGTATGTTTTTCTTTACTTTTTGATGGTATGGCTTGATTGATAATTTTCCAAACAGAGCCTGGGTTGTTTTTATGTCGCTGAACTTCATCCAAATAGTTATTTCTTTCAGAATCTTTTAACATACTCTTAACAGCTTTTCGAGCATCCTTAAAAGCAAAGTTGATCAATGCTTTGGATTCTGGACAATTCTGTTTTAACACATCACAGTTTAAATCTCTGAGTATTACAATCGGCTTATTTAACGTTGGTGCTTGGATGTAACTTGGCTTGAGAACATTATCAAACGACCTTAGTGGGGAATCATCCGGATGGTACGTTACACAAATTACGACTGATTTTGTCTTTTTACACTGTACACTGATCCACAACTGGTGAAAGTTGCATTCAGATATGTAAGATAGATCTTTCAAGATTACAGTTTTGAAATCTTTGCGAATATACGCGCAGATTCGTCCTCCTCGCTTGTGTAGACAATCAAGTCTAATAAGTTTATACCTGTCAATGTTTACCTCGGCTGATGTCATGCTCGTGTTAAGCCACGTTTCAGAAATGGTGATGATGTCAAATTTCGCTGAACGCACTAGTTCTCGAAGTTGGATAAGGTGGACATTATTCCAAAGTGAGCGTATGTTCAGATGGATAACTTTTATAAGGCCAGTATAAAGCCTGATATACTTGTCCGTTTCAATCGGTTGATCCGTGCAAGTTAAATTGTGATTCTCAGGTTTGTTTGGTGTGATTAAAATCAGACTATTTAAGTTCCTCGTATTGGGTTTGGACAACTTGGCTAGGAACAGGGCGCTATAAAACACGGGCGGGGAAACACGCTAATAAATGACCGTGCTACGTGTGATGCACATAAGGATTGGCGCGAGCGCGCTTTCTCTAAAAAAATCAGAAAATCGCGTACAAGATGGCAACAAAAAAATGTAAACAAGCAAACGAGAAAACAAAGGATTTAAATGCTAAGTAATTATGTTTCATTAATTAAAATTTGAAATATTATTTAATAAGTTATATCACATGTAACAGTTTGTGTTGTTTGTTACTGAACACTCGTTGAAAGAAAATATCAGGGCAAAAATTTTACTCAAGTGATGAAAATATTTGCAAAATTTAAAGCGCGGACGTATTTAAAATAGTGTTTTCTTCTCATTGAGATAGGTTGAGATAAATTTGAACACACCAAACTATAGACATTTAACTTGGCTTTATGTCTCAAGTAAAATTGGACGGGGCTTTTGTGGGCTTTTTTCATAAAACGGAGATATCTTGCAGCCTTTATAGTTTTCCGTATACTCCACACGACAATAGATTTGCGACTACAATACTTATTTATGCAGATAATACGATATTTAAACAACACAAATTTTCAATTATCAATGAAACGAAATCACTTCCTGCCTCAAATGCACACTATAAATGTTTATTGAAGTATCTAGTATCAGCTTATATTGCTAGAATTGGTATCTATTTCACTTGCAAAATGAACGAAGCAATTGTCGAGGAAAAGACATGCATTTTGAACTCGATTTTGACGACATTTTTTCTTTTTTGACAAAGCGCGGATGTATTTAAAATAGTGTTTTCTCCTCGTTGAGATAGGTTGAGATAAATTTGAACACACCAAACTATAGACATTTAACTTGGCTTTATGTCTCACGTAAAATTGAACGGGGCTTTTTTGTGCTTTTTTCATAAAATGGAGATATTTTGCAGCCTTTATAGTTTTCCGTAACACTGTCACTGTATAAATGTCAACGACTGCAGTCGCACTTTACAAGTAACACTTTGTAGTAAAAAACACTTTACAATGAACTTTCAATGGATTCCAAGCAGGCCGGCTCATGGTTAACACAAAAACGGTTATATATTTAAGTTTTCAAATTGTTCGAGCAAATTGTAGTTTTGTTTTTTTTCAAATTCTAGCTGTTTCAAATGCATGCATGGTCAATTTTCGGCTATATAATTATTGAAAAATAATAGCCAAGCAATGTCAGAATATTCTTACTGTGAAAATGTTTATCCTACCTTCGCATTATGAAGTAAAATATCCCATTTCATACCAAAATTTTCGTATAATATTTTTGGAATATGCCCACATTCGATCAGCTCGATTCCTTTTCAAATTTTTATTTCGCTCATGATGAATCTTTAAAGCCCTCTTTCCTTCATCAGATATACAGAAAATGAATCCAACAATGTCTTCAAACCATCAAGTTGTTTAGGAATGTGCAGAAATCATTTTTTACTTTAGTTTTTTCAGCTCTTTTTGCATAAACATTCCAATTCCATTTCTATTGACATTAAATTAATGTATACGGGGGGTGGGGGGTACGCGCATCACACAAAGATCAGGGGCGCTATCTCCGTTTCACCGCCCGTGTTTTATAGCGCCCTGCTAGGAACAAACTCACTGCGTCTTGATGTTTGTAATGACGCGATGTCTGCAAAACAGCTCGAGGGGTGATTATGCGAGGGTGCATTGTTTTGATTAGGTGATATGCAAATTTGGCGACCATGTTGTGCATGAGTAATGTTTTGATCTCAAAGGTAAGCATTGCGTTCTTTCACTCTCCTTCCACTGCGACAACCTCGAAATGGTCTCAAGATTCTGACGGAAACAAGGCAATTATAAAGAGAAGTGTCTATATACTTAGAGGAAGGCGACGAACGAAGATTTTGAAGGAATGACGACTTATAAACATTGTTTGTGTTGACGGCATTCAAGCATGACGACGCGCACTTTGAGGATTGCTTGGCTGATCTACATGTATTTCTCTCGCTGATTTCTGGACCAGAATTTGAGGATATATCAACACATATCGTAAGTCCGTTTTGAAAGGTTTTGTTGGTAGTATAAGGCTTGTATAACCATGTTTTGTTGATTTGCTGACCGTACGCGAGACTCTGAAATTCGATTCATAATTTGATCGCCTCAAAATTATGCGGTGATAGTTGATCGGCAAAATGAGGCTGTATCTGTTTGAAACTAAACCATCCACGATCAGTCCAACAGGATCCTTGAATACAATGTTTTTATGCGTATAGATCACCCGTTTAAATAAGGTAACTTGCGTTAATAAGTTTAAAAATATTAAAACAATGAAAAGCTTTGGAGCTAAGCTGGCAGCCATGTTGGCGCACGATATTCAATACTTAATGTAGGCTAAAATATTGAATTTTGAAGGAAATCGGGGCGGGAGGTCCTTGCAGAATTTGGCCATTTTCATTAGCTTTCATTGTTTTAATTGCATGGTATTTGATTAAGGTGGTTCTATGAAGTTTAAGGAAATATATGTTTGGACGTATCCTCTATTAATGATATGAAAGAGCTGTTTAACAAATGCCTCAGCATGACGCTGTACATGTGAAATCGTGAAAAAGTAGTTATCATGGCAACAGTAATAGAAACTTTATCTTTACAAAACCTATGCAACATATAGGCCTACAACTGGCCTTTGATGTGCAATGCATTTTCTTTTATTTTATTTTTATTGCAGTTATTTAAGTAGTGCAATCTGGTCATTAGTTTTATTCATTGTACTCTCTTTTCGTTTTCTCATTGGCTAAGAGCCTAGAGATAATTCTAGGTTTGTGTTGGTGTTAAACTAATTACTTAAGCCCATGACAAGGGCCAGCCTGGTTAGTGTATTTATATGGGAAAATGCTTATCGTGTAACAGAGGTTTAATTTTTTTCAAGCGAGGTCTTGTGCAAAGACACACAGTGATCTACTGCTAAAGCCTGGCGCACACGATGCAATTTTAGTCGGCCGATAAAAATTGTTTGACATACCGATATACATTGGTATACTCCGCACACGATTGAACTGAAGCCGCCATGTTGCCAAATAAATACAAGCATGTGATCACAGCATGAAATCTGATTGGTTATACTTAAAATTCCACCGATAAAAATCATATAATATCAAAACGTTTTGATGTTGTCCAATTAAAATCGAGCAACAAAAATCGGTTAAAAATGACACTGCACACACAACGATTTTGTTAGTTTTAGACAAACGATTTTTATCGGCCGACTAAAATCGCTTTGTGTGCGCCAGGCTTTATCAGGCGGTTGTCATGCTAATCAGGCAAACCCAGCTTTCATTAAAAAATCCCCATGTCTGAACCTCTTTATTATAAAAACTCATTCAGCATACTTTCTTGTTCATTTAAAAAAACATAGGTGTATGGTGCCTAAATTCATGGGATTCTACCGGGCCAAACATCAATTAGCCCTTTAAGTGGCAATGCACAGCCACCCAGATGCGCCCTACTTTATTATTTTACTCTGTCTAATGCCAGATTATTTTACTCTGTTAACACCAGACGATTTTACTCGTCAGGGGTTAAATCATGGGTCAAATCATGCATATATATCATAATAAATTTGCAAAATATCAGAATTTCTAAGATCTTTTCTTGCAGGCTATTGAAGAAAACAAGAAATGAAACAAGATGAAAATGAACATTTATTAAATCACAGATTGTTAATTATGATACAATCCATTCTTGTGTGAATTTTAGAAAAACAGTTTATAGTCTGTCATCAGAATGTTGTCTATGTTGTCAGATAATCATATGTTCAAGGTTGTAATTGTCCCTGAGCCAATGGCGCGAAGCACCGTTCCGGGCGTAAGGCCGGGGCGTGGGTACTAATCCCCCCCGGCGAAATGAAAGCATTAGCGGAGTCTAAACTTCAGCAAATATCGCGGGCGGGGGGTGACCAACCGTGGGTGGTCATCCTCGCTGATCTCAAATATATGGCGGACTGTCATGAATAGCGAACACTGATTGGTCAAATTTAAAATTTGTTGTATTACAAATGACGACTTCAACTGACAGATACTTCATGAAAATAAATTTGCTTTTTGCACAACAGTATTTTGTACATTTGCAAAAACTTTTGAGAACTTTAAAAGCAATTTGTTATATTAACAGTTTAATAAAACAATTACGGTATTATATACCAATTGAAAAAATATGGAGCCAAATGAAGGACGGCAAGTAAACGACAAGAAAGCCGAACACCTGGCGAAAAGAAGGGAGCGAAGACGACAATGTTTTCTCGAGGAGACTGCTGAGGAAAGAGAAACTCGCCTGGGAAAGCGCAGAGAAGCATGAAAAAAAGACTGCCGAAGCAAAAGGTAAGCAAAAAGAGCATGAGAAAGTCTATAGGCAACAGAAAGAAGCTGCAGAAAGTGCGGAGGAAAGAGAAACTCGCTTGGCAAAACGAAGAGAAGCGTGGCAAGAAAGGACTACAGAAGCTGAAGGTAAGCGAAAAGAGTATAAAAGAGTGTATAAGAGAGTGTATAATTTTGATAAAGTGCAAAATGAGACTGAAGAAGAACGAAAAAACAGGCTACAAAAGAGAAAGAAAGACCAAGCAACCGAAACAGTTGATGAACGAGCAAGAATACTTGAAATACTACGAGCACTTTTTCACACAGCAAGTTCAAATGAAAATGACCAAAAATCAAATGAGCAGTTGAGTATGTCTGTTGATACAACTGTAGATATACATGTATCTGTTCCTAAAGCAGACGAGGATAGTGAGTCTGTACATGAAGCAGAGGGGCCAGAAGTGAGTAGAAATAAATATTTACATGAGGGTGGTTGGCAAAATGTTGACAACCCTCTGCATGAGCTAGAGTTTGTACAAAATGAAATGCACAGTTTTCATTTAGATCAAGAACATTTAGAGCATGGACAATGTACAATGTGTAAAGAAGCTTGTCCGACACGGCAGAACTTGGCATCAGAAGTATACATTTGTTACTGGTGCAAAAGAGACAAGAAATCACCCAAGAAATTTAATGGCCGAGAATGACATGGACCCAGGAACAGTTCCTGAACAATTGAGAGGTTTGACACAGGTAGAAGAAATGTTAATTTCAAGGGTTTGTCCCATTATGAGAGTGTATAGAAAACATGGGGGTCAGAGGGGGTATAAAGGACATGTACTTAACTTACCTCAAGATATTCAAAGTTTCTTGAATAGGTTGCCTTCTCGTGTGGCAGACTTGTCTGTCTTGATTGTGCGAAGACATGATGCAGAAGACACGTCGCGACTTTACTGTGCATCAACACAAAGTTCTTGAGGCTGTGTTATGGTTAAAGACAAACAATCCGTTCTTGAAAGACATCGAAATTGATAGAGATGTCATCCAAAGTTTACCAGAAAATGTTATTCCCAATGAGCTAAGGTATGTCATTGATGAAAATGAGCTTTCGGTTCCTGTTGAAAATGAGGGGCCTCCCCAAGACCCAGTAATGAGTGCTAATGGAAGTGTGGAAGAGTTAGTTTTAGGAAATGGCAGTACATCGTTTATTCCTATGCGTCAAAGACAGAGAACAGAAGGTGCAGCTATCCAAGATGCAGTAAATGAGGCTGATCCATTAGACTGGCCATCTACTGAAGGTAATCTCGTTAATGAATTTAAAACAGATGGTTTAGCTACTATGGCCTTTCCTACATTGTTTCCTTATGGGAAGGGTGACCCAACAAATAGGGCAAGAAAACATGGTATAACGTTAAGCGAAGCTTTCAAACACTTAATGAAGTTTGCAGAGAGCCTTGCAGATGGTAAATTTGAATGGAGGTCTGCATCTTACCCACGGTTTCCTTATTGGGCGTTAAACATGAAACAATGGCATCAGCTGTTGTCACAAGCGAATGTTTACTTGCGTCAACATCCTGCTGATGCAAATATGACAATGGAAGAACTGAAACAGATGGTCAATTCCATGAGTGCGAATAGGTTGCAACGCTATGTGTCCAAAGTACAAGGTACGAATCAGTATTGGTATCAGCGGCTGCAGGAATTGCTGGCCCTGATTGAACACAAAGGCTGCCCTACTTTTTTCTTTACCTTTAGTGCAGCTGACATGCATTGGCCAGACTTACAGAGACTGTTACAAAATGATGAAGGTGCAACCAGATCTGAGCGAGCACAAGCTGTAATCGATAATCCCAACCTAACTGATTGGTCCTTTATGCAGTGGCTGCAGGAGTTTGTCAGACATTGGCTTAATGGCATCTTGGATGCCGAGTGGCACTGGTATCGATTTGAGTACCAAGCTAGGGGAAGTATTCATTGCCACAGATGTGCAAAGTTTAAAAATGACCCCGATACTCGAAAATTACATAATAAAGCATGTGTTGCATTCCTAGAGAGTGAGACAACAAGGTTTAAAATGTCACCTGATGATTTTGAATTCCTTTGCGGGGATGTGACTAGACAAGGAGAAGATGCCGAGAAGTTGTTAATACAGTAAGAAAAAATATTTTCCATATTATAGTATTAATTATTGTTTCCAATGTATAGACCATGCTAACTCATGTGCACAATCTGATATTTGTGGGATATTCTATGATATTTTTATTGATGAAGTTACTTGATGAGCATGAAATTAATTGTTTGAATAATAATATGACTTTAAAGATTGGGCAAGAAGCCTTCAAATGCAGGACAGTTAATTTGATACGTTGTGACAAATTTATGGTGATATAGAATGCCGAATTGTAAGTTACCAAGGGTGGGTTGACTACAAAATTTTTGTAGTTCGCTATAACTACAGCTACTTCAAAAATATGTAGTCAGCTACAACTACTGCTACTTTTGAACAAAGGTAGTTTGCTACTGACTACAGCTACTGCTTAAAAAATGTAGCGAATTATTTCGCTATTTCGCTACACTATATATTTTTAGTTTTACTATATACGAGTAACCAACAGTAAACACAAAGCAACATTTTGTAAGCACTACAGTGTTCAGGAGTGCAAATTGACTATATTGAGTATTGATTTTAAGCAAACCGTGTCTCAATATCATGCTATTCTATCAAGTTGCTAACAATTTTAAAAAGTAGCGAATAGCGATTCGCTGTTTGAAAAGTAGTCAACTACTTGGCTACTTTCAGGCAAAATGTAGTTCGGTATAACTACAACTACTGTTTTAAAAAAGTAATCAAAACCTACTGGCTACTTGAAAATTGTAGTTCGCTACAGTAGCGAACTACAACTACTTCGCTACAACCCAACCTTGTAAGTTACACAATACCAGATCCCACTTCTCATAACATCGGATTATTTTACAGTTATAGGAATCTCTTACCTCCTACTTAATATATTGCATTTCAAAATACCATGAAAACTGTACAAGGCATGCTCCCAAATGTTCATGCCAACTAAAAAGCGAATTCAATATTGTGTAACCAGTAACCACTGGTGCGTATTTAATAATATGACTAAATAATACTCAACTATATAAAGCTAATAAAGGCCGGGTATAAACTACACAACTTCTGCCTAAAACTGTCTCAAGCAACCTACTTACAACTTGAGTGTACTGTGTAAATGAAGCACACAACTCACCTATGACAATGTAAGCAAGTTACAGTGTCGACTTGTGTCTTGTGTGCTTGACATACATAGTTCAACTCAAGTTGTTCAAACAGCTGGCATGCGAGATTTTTAAGCAAAAGTTATGTAGTGTAAATCGGCATTTAATACACAAAACACTCACCAAATATCCAGAGGTCTTTGGCCCATGTTTTTATTATTAAGCATATTATATTATAATAGTATATCTTCGCTACAGTTAAAATTGAAAAGTAACAATCTTTTACATGTAAACAAAAATTCTTTATAAATTCATTAAAAGGTTTAATTTTCCTCAAAGGAATTTTCAATAATTTCTAAAGATTTCATTGGAATGTAAGGAATTATGTAAATAGAAAGTGGAAATTTTATTTCACTCAGTCAGTGGTCCAATTAAAACTGTTTTATAACTATAATTTGGTAATATTTGTGACTAAAAGAACGAGAGCATGTGTTTAATAATAAGTTATGATTATTAACTTAAAGGTATGTTGACTGGCTGGTGACAATTTTTAATGAGGAATTGCCAGATGAAAACTGGAGGATACCAGACCCACACCCATCTGCTGTTAGCGCTACAACAGTGGATAATCGTGACAATGATTATCACAGGTTAGTTAATACTGTAGAAAGACACACTATATGCAGTCCAGCGTATTGCTTGAAACAAAAAAGAGTGGACCTGCTTGCAGAATGCAGATTTGGTTTTCCAAAGGGATTACAAGAATAAACAGAACTGAATCTTGAGCTGGTGGTAAGTAAAAATACTACGTCGGTTGAGTATGAGTTACATACCAAACAAAATAATCAAAGATTATAAATTCACATAACAGGGT